CCCCTTCTTGCTGCTGCTGCTGCTGCTGCTGCTGCTTGTCTTCTCTCTGCTACAGCACCGCCCGCTACGTCGTAGCCTCCCACACCTCCATGACCCTGTCTCTTATACACATCTAGATGTGTATAAGAGACAGTGCCCCAACATGAAGCAACATGGGCATAGAACGATCGTATCATGCCAGGCAATGCAGCATAGTATAGCAGTATGCTTCCGTCTCGTGAACCAATTGGTCTCAACAAACCAATCACCCACTTCCAAAAATCAATTGCACCTCACAGAAGAATCTATAATCTTCCCAACAACCATATCTAGTAATCTATCCCCTGTCGCACTCTCTCTGGTGAATGATGTAGTGGTTGATTTTGATTGCAAACATGCTACAAGAACACAGCAAACCTGCAAAAAGCACAGCGTTGACGCAACCTACTCTCCCAATTAACCAGCGCAAAAGTTGGCATGTGCTTGGAACACAGACGGAAACACGGCGAGCATGAAGCAACCTGCAGACATGCCAGTCTGACCTGCACACAGCGCAAAAGTTGGCATGCTTGAACACAGAAAGAAACACGGCAAGCATGAAGCAACCAACACATGTGCCAGTCTGTAGAGAGAGCTGCACATGCCCCATGCGACCAGACATGCTGCCAGGACACACGCCAGCACTGCAATCGAGCACAAGTGATCGGCGTGACATTGTCACTGCAATCGAGCACAAGTGACCAGCGCCATGGTGTACCGGGTGTGGCCAGACTCTCTCACAACACTGGCTGTCCGAGGAGCAACCATGGTTGCCATGGAGTGTGCCGGATACGCCTTTTTGCACGCTTGCTGCTCACGCTCACAAAACAGAGCATGAGACGGCCGGCTATGTACAATCCGATTTACTAATACCCAAGTACTACCGTGGAGCACGACTGCTGCTACCCCTTCCCCCTGCCCAACTCCCAATCCACCCCTTGGTAACCAGTTGTCATGCATTTCTGTGGTCCCCACCATCACATCAAACTCTCGATCGTCATATGTTTGCCTTCTCCAATAAGACCAAGCGGGCATGCGCTTAAAAAATCACACTTGTCAGTGACACAGTGGTCATCGCTCCCAACCAACCATGCCATACCCTGCCAAGCGTTGCCTTTGATTCCTACCTGGTTTCCCTCTCGATCGGTCCTTCGACTATAGCATTCCCAACGCCATACCCGCCTATGTCCATCGTTTCCACCACACACATCCCCGCGTCCTACACCACCGGCATGTCCTCGCCATCACACAATTGCTCGGCGGCTACTGCCGTCGTCACCCGAATAGAATGCCCGGTCGTTATCGCCGCATCTGGACTGAAAGTTGCACCAAATGCCGCTATGATGACCAGCCGTTCTATTCCGGTGAAGATGGCAATCAACAATCAATGGCATCTGTTTCGACGATCGGACCGTCATCCGCCTACCTTCTATATGTCAGCTTTCGATGCTTTCGACGGCCCAACTTCCATCACGCTGCTGGGTAAATCCCTTCCACTTCCCATGCCCCTTGTGCTCCTAATCCCTACTACTACCAATTGACCTACCCACCTTGATGGTAGTCACATTCTCAGTCTGTGTCCTTCTCTCACAGCTCCAGCCCCTCCCAGTATTCCTTTCCATTGTCCTTCTCTCACAGCTCCAGCCTCTCCCAGTATTCCTTCCCTTGTAATGAAAACTACTTCGCCTGCAATTCCTCCCTTGCAGCCAGCCTACCAATACCGATCCATCGGTTTCCATTGCCAAATCAGGTACCATTCTTGCATCTGCTGCCGATTCTTCATTGGCTGTCACTGCTGGACAATCTAGCATCCCTTCATCTACCCTGTTGCTTCTCCTCTGCACCTCTTGGCATCACCACCGCATTCGCTGCCGCCATTCTTTTCATCACCTCAAACCGCCAGTTCACCCAGAGCAAAAAAAAAAAAAAGAAAAAGAAAAAAAGAAAAAGAAAGAAAGAAAGAAAGAAAGAAAGAAAAGAAAAGAAAAGAAAAAAAAAGTAGGGCTCTTACAGCCCACCGGTTTACGCAGTAAGTAAGAGCTTTTCGATTCGGGCATGGGCAAGTAGTAAATGATGTAGGCCACTACGAAAAGTAGAGGCCCAGATGGAAGGGGGGGGGGTAGGGGGGACTCGTGAACCTTGGATCCGAAGGTATAGCTTCTCTCGATGGAAGGGGGGGGGGTAGGGGGGACTCGTGAACCTTGGATCCGAAGGTATAGCTTCTCTCCAACTTACCCTTCTTCCCCGGAATACAACTTCCGGTCATTATTATTAGCTGTGTATTTAGACTGAAAGATACCCCAAATTCAGATATAATGACCGTACGTTGTATTCGGGGGAAGACGGTAGGCCCCCTGTGAGCTGCTGGTTCACAACAGAGTTAACTTGCATGCAACCTATCCCTCCCATTCCTGGATGTCCTTTCCTCTCTTTTATGCCTCTCTCCCCTGCGGCTGATCCTGCCCCTGCCAGCAACACTCCTTTTTTTTTTTTTTTTTTTTTTTTTTTTGCAACACTCCTTACTCTTCAGCCATACCACTTGGCCTCACTGTTCCCTCGTCCCACCATCTCATGGTCACGACAATGCAGTCCATCTCCTCGGCCTCGGCCATTAGCGATCATTTTCACAGTGACCGCCTTCACTTCACTTCACTCAGATGCCCGCCATCTCCACGCTCTGACTGCATGCATCCATCATATATCATCTATAAGCCTATAACAACCTCTGTGGCCGATGTCATGACATTTACGACCTCAGGTGCAAAATCCCTGCATCGGCTGCCGTTGATGCCTTGGCTGCCAAATTGCTCCATCTGCCCCCAGTGCCACATCATTTGCCATCCAATCCCCATCAGTTTCCTTTGCCCCGTCACTTGCCACTGATGCCTCTTACGCTGCTGCAATTTTTCGGAATTGGGTGTCATTACCCCATTAGCTGGCTGCTGCAATGCCCGCCCGCTCCTCGCCTCCCATGCTTCCCTTGTGACTTTTAATGCTGTTCTTCCTCCTGATGCCTCTTCTTCTCTTAGCAGCAGTCCCTTGGCCCCCCCTGCCATGCACTCACCGGCCATTGGATTCCACCTGCCAAGAGACTGCTAAGAGGACATTGTTGCAGTGTCGTCTACGACCACGCCATTGTGGATTCCATAGCTTTGTCGGCTCCCTTCCCTGCCTCGGCTGCCGTCCATAGCTCAGCTTCCATGACGTTGACTGCATCCATCACGCCATCTCGGTGAGTGGGGATGGCATGTTGGTGCCACCGGTCCATCAATCTCAACCCCTACATCACCTGCCACCGACATATCATCCCCACTCAGCATTCCTGTATTGATTGCTGCATCGTCTTCTTCCATCGGTTTCCCTGTCGCATCACCTCCCATCACTTCACCCTCCCTCCCTCACTCCACGTGGAACAAGATGCCCACCGACTGTCAAATCACATGTCATCGCCACGTGCCCTGCTCTCCTCACAGCATCCTCTCCCTGCCTGCACCATATCTTGACACTGGGAATCTCATCACATCCCCGTCACCCTCTCACATTTCATCATCATACTCCTTGCCCCTTCAACTCCTCCAAAGCCCCCCTTTCCCCACCCATCGTTCCTTCGTCTTCCCGCACCCCACCCATCCCCTACTGCCAACCCTCGGTCGCACAACTCTCCTTGGCTTCCCACCACTCTGTGCCCCCAGTCCTACTTGTGGCTCTAAGAGTCGCTTCGAATCCCCCCCCTGCCAACCCCACATCGCACTCCACCTCGCTTCCCCTTTCCACAAATCGTCCATCCACCTTCACATCCCTTTCCACTCTTCGGCTAGCCATCGCCCCTTCTTCTTCTTCACTTACAACCCCTCATCGCAACCCATCACTTTTGCATTTTACCCCTCCCCCGCTCTTCTCCATCCCACCTCTATCCACCATCCCTACCCTCCTCCCGGCCCTGAGGAAGCCTGTCTTCGACCTTCAAGAAACCTTTCCCCACCCCATCACCTCCTTCCTCTCCCTCAATTACATGCCGTAACAATCTACTGTCTCTGACATCTCCAACGCCACCACCCTCTCCTGCAAGTCTTTCATCGTCTACTACATCTCCCTCTTTGTCCGCCGCCTCAACACTTTCCACAGCCCCGTTGTTTCCCACCATTTCCTGATCGGACATGGCTTCACATTCTTCGACTTCACACACAATGCCTTCCATCTCTCCTACCTCTCCCATTTCTCCCTCTGCCGTCCTCGAAACAGCATTTCCCATTACTGTTCTATCACCCCTTCTTGCTGCTGCTGCTGCTGCTGCTGCTGCTTGTCTTCTCTCTGCTACAGCACCGCCCGCTACGTCGTAGCCTCCCACACCTCCATGACCTTGGACATCTGCATCGCCTTCCACAGAAGCAATGACATGCATAACTACTACTCCTGTTCCTCCTCCTCCTCCTCCTCCTCCTCCTCCTCCTCCTCCTCCCAAAGGTCCGCCAGTTCCCACCACGACTTCTTCCCCTTCAGTCGGTCTTCCTTCTGCCGCCCTGCATTCAACCCAGTCCACTGATCTTTGCTCTCCGACGGCTCCTCCTTCTCCCTTTCCTGCCAGTTCTTTACCACCCAAGATTGCTTCTTCGCCATCCATTCTCTCATCCCAACGGAACGACGACATGTCTCTCTCCGCTGTTCCTCCTACTCCCCTCGCTTCTTCTTCTCCTCCCTTCGTCGCCTTCACCGATCCGCCACCTCCCAACTGCACCTCCACATAGTGTTGCATGGCAACGTAGCCGGCTGCTGCTGCCACCCCCTCCCTCTGCGACACAACTCTCCCCACCCGTTGCACTGCTCGTTGGTCCTCAACGACCGCCTGCCCTTCACGTGCGGCCATCAGTTCTATTATTTGCCTTTCCTCCGGCGACGTCACCCCTTGGCCTTCCTGTACTACTGCTACCACTACTTGGCTTTCTTCCAGCGACCTCAACTGCTTCTTCCTCCTCTTAGGTTTGCTTCTCTTAGGTCTCCTCGTTGGTCTAAGCTCCTCCTCCTCATCCGTTCTTCTCTTCAATCCRCCCCTGATCCGAATGACCTGTGCATCTTCTTCTCTCTTTCCCCCTCTCTTCTCCTCAACCCGACACTTCTTCGCATTTCTTATCTCCCCTTTCCCTCCCACCCTACGTTTTACCCCCCACCTTGCCTTCCTCTTGCGTCTCCCTGAACTTTTCCTCTCCTCCTCCTCGTTCTCCTCCTCCTCCTCCTCCTCCTCCTCCTCCTCCTCCTCCTGTTCTTCTGCTTCTACCGCCATCCCCATCACCTGGATCATACTCGCTAAGTTCATAAGCCGCTCACGACACATGCAAGTCAAGGACGATATGTGCGACGTGGCGACATCGCGGCCGACCAGGCAGGCCCTGGAACACATCTCCGTGTACCAGCTGGCGATGGAACAAACCTGGGTATGCCAAAATGCAACGACCATGGAGACGGACATGGCCGCCAGCTTGGCAATCAATTCAAAGTCCCCGGGATCGGGACCTGCGAAAGTCTCAAGCGGGGTCGGCGGGACCTGGTAGCTTGAGGTCGAGACTGGAGGAAGCTGGTACGACGAGTCGCCGACCAACGGCGGGATCTCGTACGTCGGAGCTACCGGCAGGGTTGCTTGTACCGCCTGATATGTCCGTACAGGGGTTGTCTGTACCTGGTACGCCGGCGCCATGGCTGGCGCTGCCGGCGGAAGCGGAGGCGGTACTTGATACGCCCTAGGTGGCGTTGGCGTTGGCGTCGCCGTCGCCGTCGCCGTCGCCGTTGATGGAATGCGCTCTGGCGGCACGATCACACGATCCATGGCAGCGGCGGCAGTGGCGGCGGCGACCGCCGCCGCCGCCGCCGCCGCCGCGTCCAAGCACTCGCCTCCTCTCATGAAAGGAACGAGTGTTAAGGACGCGGACAAGGATTTGATTGCCTGCGTTGCCGCCTCAATTGCCGCCGCCGCCGTCGTCGTCGTTGTCGTCCTTGTCATCGATGGCAAAGCGCATTCACGATTGACATCACATTTCCACGCTGCGGCGAGCACGTATCCACTCTAGCGTTCTTTTCGATTGACACAAGACATTCCTTTCCACACCCCCCAGTCGTCAGAGAGCCATTCATTCATTTATTCATTCATCACCAGTTACTCAAAGCACGCCACTTATCAGCGCCACGAACCCGTGGTCACTCATGAAACCTTCGCCCCGTTCCACTCTTCCCTCCTCTTGATCCTCCCCCCCTCCTCCCTCCCTCCCTCATCTTGAGCTACGCAAATTATGGATCAACCTCCGGTCAATCTGTGTCACAAATGAACACAAAAAGATCAAATCAAGCCTTCAGTCAATCAGGGTTCCAAAGGGTTCCAAAGGGCCGAGGGAGGGGAGGGAGGGAAGTCATGGTTTCAGAGCCTGCACTGTCTAATCCAAACAACTACCACCCAAAAAAAAAAAAAAAAAAAGACACACAGAGAAACTGAGCACAGGCTAGGGTTTACGAGGGAGTAATCCACCAGAAAGAATGCTTGAGATAGGCGAGAGGAAGAAAAGGAGGAAGAGGAGGAGGAGGAAGAAGAAGAAGAAGAGACGAGGTAAAACGAAAAAAACGGAGAGATGAGTCAGGTAGACAATGTTATGAAAGAGGTACAAGTACATGAGAAGGTGGGAGAAGGAGCTGAGTGACACTAGAGGAGGAGGAGGAGGAGAACGAGGAGGAGGAGGAGGAGGAGGAGGAAGAGGAGGAAGTGAGCCAGGTAGACAATGCTGTGAAAGAGGAAGAAGAAGAGCAGCAGAACCAGCAGCAGCAGCAGCAGCAGCAGGAGGAGGAGGAGGAGAAGGGGGAGATGATGAGTGACACAGGTATGTAGGACGAGGACCAAGAACAGAAGGGAGGAGGAGGAGGAGGAGGAGGAGAAAAAGCTGAGCAAAAGATAGATAGATTATGTACCCTTGACATCGGCCCTCACACTGCGGAAAACATCAAACATGGATGCAGAGGACCAACGACGCTGCATAATGCAAATCAGAGGTTTCCACATCAGAACAGCTGAACAGTGAATTGACAAATTACCACCGGAATTTTTTTTTTTTTTTTTTTTTTAATAAGCCGGAATTAGTAATTTTGAAAACAAGAAGGGGACACCCTTTCCTCCCTTCCCTTCCCTTCCCTTCCCTTCCCTCCCCTGCGTAAGTTGGCAGTGACAGGCTGCTCACGTCAGAGGTTTGCCTTCACAGTGAACACGATGATTTTCTGTTTTTTTTTCCCCTAAAACCCCCTTTGCAAGTTGACACAGGCAAATTGACGCCTCGTTGCATTTCTAAAACCCTTCGTAAAACTCACAGGCTGCATTTTTTTTTTTTTTTTTTTTTTTTTTAAATGTGGCCCGATGGACCACGAATCAGATAGTAAAATGATCAGAAGAACAGATACAGTGCACTTGATCTTATAGCCAAAAGGCCGAGAAAGGTATCAGGCTGCATCTTTTTTTTTTTCTTTTTTTTTTTTTTTTTCCCTTCTCTGTATCGTTCCAATTTTAACGGATGTCCCGAAGGACGGCTGCATCTTTTCGATTTCTGAACCCCTTCGTAAATTGACAGAACGTTTTCTATTTTTAGACCCCTTCGTTAGTTGACAAACAAACTGGACCCTCGTGATAAATTCGACACCCTTCTTCTTAAAGCCGAATTCCAAATCGACAGTCGTCAAAAAAAAAAAAAAAAAAAAAAAAATCAATGCCACGCACTACTTTCAACGACATAAAGAGAGAAAAGGATACAAGAGATGAAGCAAAATCGTTCGTATGATCGATGCCGTTAAGAGAACAGAGATAGACTTGCAGCAATGCATTGCGTAGTAAACAAAGCACACACAGACACAAAGCTAGAGAGAGAGAGAGAGAGAGAGAGAGAGAGAGAGAGAGAGAGAGAGAGAGAGAGAGAGATTGTGACGACCTTCTCGATGATAGATATATGTATTCTTCTTCTCCTTGTCACGTGCATCGCTCCCTTCCTCCATACACTATCTGCCTACCATCCCATCTCATCGCAATAGCAAGATGGAAGAGCGGACGGAGGGATGGGTGACAAGATGCCATGCACGGAATACAATGCTCTCAAATAAAATGAACCGAATGCTCTCAAACAAAATGAACCGAATGCTCGGTAAAGCCGGTGTGAAATACAAATCTCCATCTGTCTCTGCATTATGAGGTCAGATGGGAGACAAGATGTTAGATGTTGTCATAAATCAAGTTGGGTCCTGTTCCCAACACATGCTGCTCCCCATGAATAGACTGGATCCTTCTCAATGCTGTCCCATGCACAGTCTAGGGGTAACCTCTGGACGTCGGATGGACAACTGGATGTGTTTAACAAAAAAAAAAAAAAAAAAAAGAGTTTGAAAATTCCCCCCGCTCTCTCTCTCTCTCTCTCTCTCTCTCTCTCACACACACACACACACACACACACACATACACACACAAAAAAAAAAAAAAAAAAAAAAAAAAAAAAAAAAGTTGTATAGACCGAACATGACGACGCACAGAATGCCGTATGGCTGCTCACGTCAGAGGTTTGCCTTCACAGTGAACACGATGTGTTCTCATACTGAGCACTCACCTAGGCGGATGTGAGACGCATGGTGTCAGCTTCCAAAACCATGGGCCTCGCTGCACTACTCTCGAAATGTGCAAAACGAGAGCGAATCTTCCACTATAATATGGAAAGATACACCGCCTTGATTTTTGTCTTTTGTGCATGTCGAGAGTAGCGCAGCGAGGCCCCATATGACATGCCCGCTCGAGGAAGCACGCGCTGTCCCTTGGCTTTCATGGACACAGCGCCCGTATTTAAGTTAACCCTCTGCGCGCCAAGTTTCCGTACGACTCTCAACGCGTGGCCAAACACCCGCTCATGTATCTTTTTTTTTTTTTTTCTGTACTCTTCTCTCAACTTCTTTATCTTTACCTTCCATTACCCACTCCTAAGACTATCTAGAGGGGACCCCTGCAAGCATAGTTTTCCTCTCTCTGTGAAGGGGAGATTTCATGTTGCCCCTTGCCCCTAATGGTTAGGGTATAGGGTTGGGGCCRCCRGTGGGGGTCTGGCTAACACAAAGACCGAGACCTGCCAGTAGCTGTGCCTCCATTTCTCATCGTCCCCCACCCTTCATCGAGTAGCAGCAGAGGCTATGGCCAACACTCTCCCACACACCACACACAACCCACTCGCGCTCACAGTCACACCCATGTTGGTCATAGACCCCGCTAATATCGATCAGGGGTATCCAGGGGACTATCACAGTCCGTTGGCATTAAGTGCGCCGCAGGCGGCCATGGGGCTACATGCTGCACTGTTTGTTTGTTTGTTTGTTTTAAATGCTGCACTTCTCTTTCTCTTTTTTTTCGAATGCTGCACTTTAGACGTGGCCCAAATAACTTGAAGGGCGGCCGGAGCGCTACGGCGTTTCGGACCAAGCGATAAGCCCCCGGTAACGTGGGCTTCTGAGTCAACCGCGTGCGCCACCATCATGACGTCGCCGCGGGAGTTATGACCCTGCCCCTATCCGCCATGTCTCGGAGGGTCGACGATGATTACCTGATCAGGTGCTCATTGGCGATGGTGTCATAGTGACCTGTCGGTTAGGTCCTACCATACGTTACGAGCGAATTAGCTTATAATGTTGTTTGTGTAGAGTGACGACCAATAACTATTCCTCAGATCTTCCTAGTTTGTGGTTGTGGTAAGTAGTGTCGAAGAGGGGAGAAAACCTATGGCAGCGGTTCAAATGGAGGAGGGCGTGCATCAACGTGGCGCTCGCTCTCCGCCACCTGACCCAGGTGGAGATAGAGATGAAGACGAGAGACTTAGAGAGTTGATGCGGCTATGTTACGAGGAAGGGATCATGCCTCCTAACATAGATCCCAGGAAGATGACCGTAGAAGGAAGAGAAGCAAAATTCAAAGTCAACGAACGAATCGACAGAGTAAAGATTGCTTGGTTAAAAGAGCACACCGTGACAGTAATTTTTCGAGAACGGGCGAGATTCCTTCCCAAGCGAGTTAAAGACGATATTGTACGAGCATTCGAAGACGAAAAAACTCAGGACGGAAGCTTTGAAGCGGAGAATTTCCGACGAGGGAGAGTTAAGGTGGAAAGCCCTAACGTGGTCTCATAGGTCGCTAAATCCAGAGCGATCGCGGCATGGATGGTTACTAAGTGGCATGAAGAAATCACAATTGGACAAGACACCTACAAGCTGGATTTTAAACTGTGGATGTCGAAGGCGCAACTCCGGGATCAACGACGGGAGGAGGACGAACTCACCTTTTGGGTTATAGCAGTTCAAGTTCCCCTGGACTCTTTCTTCTACTGAAGCTCAGGTGGCGAGGGCGATTGGTCCGATAATTCGAACGCATCCAACCGAACCAGATCGACTCAAACCATCACTGGTGAATGTTAAATTTGACATTGACCCAAGTTCGCGTCCTAACATGAAGGACAAGATCTGGGTCATCACGCCAGAAGGTGACGAGCTAGAAGTAAGGCTGGCGTCCTCGGAAACGCCGAGATGCAGACGATGCCGGACTTTTTTTCACACAGATAATGAGTGTCGACGAGGAGCGGGACAGCAGCAACAACGAAATCAAGCCAGTAGCGGAGTTTAAGGACAACCGATCAGTCAAGGATATCAAGGCCCAATGGGCCCGTTGGGATTATCTTCATCACTCACGGCACTTCATATTGATCCGGCTAATGCCCATCCAAGTGGTCAGCCATTTGTCAATTCCCGCCTCAACCCGACCTTCTCTCCAAGTCAACAAGCCGGATCAGTTGTGGGCCTAGGTAGCCAAGTCAACAACCAGACGGTGAACCAGCCATGGTTCCAACCATCTCCATACCCTTAGTATGGGATGCCAAGCTGGACAGGTAACGCCTTCATGCCATGGATGTCGCAACTAGCATTCCAGCAAGGCGGTCATATTCTTCCTCCGAATGGAATGATTCTAGCTCAGCAACGAAGCGTAACAGGTGGAGCGCCTGGATTAGGAGCTCACCAAATGTTTGCCCCCACCTATCCGCCCATGAGAATGAGAGGGGGAGGAAAAGGGGGAAGTCTGATGGGAGGGACAAAAGGTGGAGTAGT